TAATACAGAATAAACTTTAAAAAGTAACATAATAGCCATGATTATGCAAGGATGTTAAGAATTTAGGACTTTCCTGGATTACTGCTTATTTTTACTCTTTGATTGGCTAGACAGTGAACTTGGCTTGACATAAAAGAATGTCTAACCATCCAAAAATATTTTAATATTATTTTCTATTATATATTTTCCTTTGTTATACATCATGTTTCCATTTCTGTAATGGCAGTATACTGTCTGTATCAAATCTCTTTTAAATAGACATATTATACACCATAATTGTAGCTGTTATTCTCATAATATATACAATATAATCTACACTTCTAGTTGCTCTATAAAATTTAATGTAATCAAATGTGATCCAATGATAATATTGCTTATAATGTTACGCTTACATATATCTATATATAGATTTACCTCTATTTTATTAATCACCCTTAATTATAAATTTACTAACTTCTGCTTCTGTTTTCTAACCATTTATAAAATAAGTCCCATGTTTAATAATACTCTTGTTTCTTCTTTGTCCCTAATTTCCATCGTTAATTTATCCATTTTGGCACAGTCTAGTATTTTCTTTATTACATTTTCCTCTACGGGTATACTTTCATTTTTCCAGTTTTGTGCATATATAATTCTCACTGCCGTTATTACATGTAATATTAAATATATAATTCTTTTGTTGTATTTCTCCAGTAGTATAGCTAGTAGGAAAAATTCTGGTTTTAAATCTATTTGTTGTGCTATCATTTCTTCTAACCACCTTTTTATCTTTAACCAATATTTTTTTGCCATTGGACAAGTCTACCACTTATGGTAATAGGACCCCAGTATCTGTTTACATTTCCAGCACTCTGGCAATACATTTTGGAACATTTTTGCCATTCTTGCTGGTGGCAAATGTCATCAGTAAAACATTTTGTAAAGATTTTCTTTGTATGCTGTTGACTTGGTTAATTTGTTGTTTCTTTCCCAAAGTTTTTGTCAATTGTCATCCAAAAATATTTTATACACATCATATTGAGGGATGAGAGCCAGTTTGATGTAGCAGTAAAGGCACCAGGCCAGAAACCAGGAGACTGTAAGTTCTATTCTTTCTTGAGAGTTTACGCACCAGAGACAAATTCCTTCTGTGTCCAATCACACTTGGCCAATAAAGAATATTCCATTCCATTCTCTCAGCCTACTGGGTGATCTTGGGCCAATCATTCTATCTCAGATCTGGGAAGGAGGCTATGGGAAACTACTTCCAAAAATGTTGTCAAATAAAACACAGGGACTGGTCACATTGTCACCAGGAGTCAAAGGCTTTTTCGAAGGCTAAATAGGGATATTAGCTTGTTCTATCTTTTAAATAATTACATGAAAATCCTGAAGAACTGGAGTCAAGGGATTTTTCCCTTTCTAGCACCATCCCAGAGAAGAGTTACATGGTTTTTTGGATTCCTCCAGAGGAAGCCTTGCAAATTGGTGACAAGGCTAATAATAAACATCACAACATGGAAAAGGAATGAGTCCTAAAACTATGATATTTGATTGCACTGTTTAAGTATCAATTTTCCATGAATAGTGTGTGTGTGTGTGTGTGTGTGTATTGTGAGCTGCAGGGAATATTTTTTTTTATTTTTTTTTCCACCATAAAATATATTGCAGATGTTCTGGAGGATAATATGGCAAGAGGCTTAACTCTGAATGCAAGCTGAAATGGACTTCATCTGTGTAGATAAAACAATGTCTGTTAACGTAAGAGAACTTTCTGGCCCATACATCCACACTTTTCTCCTACAGAGTTCTGAATAATGTTTGTAAAATCTTCTCTGGAGATTACACCAATTCCCTGAAGCAGCCCAGCTGAATTGGAATAGACAGACTTGAAGAATCTAAGTAATAAACTATTAATACCTAATGTACTAAAATGGTTGTACTGACAGAATTACAGGAGTCTTTCTGGTCTAAGATTTCACTTGATTTGGGAGATTTGGACTTCAAAATATCAAGGGAGGGGTGGGACAAATACATGCAACCCCAATATATTATTTAAATGTGAGGAGCGTTTGTTCAACTTTACATGTCATTTTGCAGCTATTTTGATTTTATATATTGTAGTTAGGCATATTGGGAACTAAAGTACACACTAGGAGTTAATTTATCCATTAATAATTTTGACAATCATAGCTTGCAAACATTCATATTTAACACTTTAAAAATCATATAAATGAAAAATATACATGAAAATAATATCATAGGCAGGTTAAAATGTAAAACTGAAACTGCATACAAAATAGCTTTCTGAATTAAATGACTTTCTTTGGAAAGCCCAGATCTTGTTCTCTAAAATGTTGTAGTCTCAACCTAAGTGAGATTTTTTTTTCTGAAGCTGTTCCAACAATCTGATTTCCTTGAAGGTATTTCTAACAATAGATCTGAATGGGAGAACAGGGTGTGGCCTGAAGGACCTAAACCATTCAGGGCCTTAATTATCAGCTACAATTTAAATTGGGATGAAACAAGTAGGAAGTCATGCAGCTGTTGAAACAAGGTTGAATTTCCTGTATACAGCCAGGCTGAGCCAGAAATTTAATTTTCTAAAGGTGTTCAAAGGCACGCCTCTAAAGGACATTATAACAGGCTACATGTGTTAAAGAAGGCATATATTGCTCTTGCAATATTAGTTATCCATTACACAAAAGAGTTATCCATTGCACAAAACTTAACTTGACCATAGCCAAGTTCTAAACAAGTAGATTCAAGAATTCCCAAATTCTACACCTTTTCAATAATATCTCATCTAAGTGACTCCTTGATTTCAGGTCAGTGCTGTTGGATAATTATACTTCTGATTAGTCAAGATTTAGTTTCATGTTGCTGTTCAGACTAAAACCATTGTCATTTTCTAGCAACAGTTTAAATCTAGAAAAGTCTCCTTGAATGGAATGGAAAGTAGAGATTGGCAAGTACCATTCATGGTTTTTGAAGTGCTGAAACCCTAAATCACTTTTCCCACTCCATGTGGCTTGTGTGTTCAGTGTGTTCAAGTTGCATGTTAAAACATGCATGGTAGTGTCTTAACTTTGGAACCTTTTGGTAATGCTCGTTGGACTTTGTATGTGTGTTTCTTTTTGGCAGAGTTGAAGACTTGCATGTTCCAGGAACATTTAGAAGTGTTGTGTGTTCACTTATTCCATGGCATATTTTGAAAGCTGTGCTGCTCCTTTAAGGAAGATGGTTTTTATTCCAATTTTAAACAATTGTTAACTTCTAAGAACTCAGGATGATCAGGGTAAAAATTCAATATTAAAAGAATGTTCTCCTTGAAGATAACATCTTTCTTTTTACTGTTGGAAACAATAAGTAAGAATTGTATCTCCAGTATGACTTTAGGCTCACACAGCTGTTCTTTAAGGAGGCCAGCACATGTAGCCATTTCTTTTAAATATGTGCTTTTGGCAAAATTCCACAAATCAGTAAAAACAGTGGTGTTTTGTAAGGGGTGTGTATATATAAGGATTTAAAACAAGTTAAAGACAATGATTTTTTAAAGTTATGCCAGAAACATGTTAAATATTTTTTTACAAAATACGTATTTCATTTATTATAATCACCATCAATGTTCCATATTCAGTATAGTTATTATCATCTAAATACCAACCCTTTAAAATTAGCATTCCATGTGGGTTCATACTCAGTTGTGTAAACAAATTGTTCACTTTTTCAAAACTGGTAATGGGTTTAATGTAACGTATTTCTGTGAGAATGTAAGTCAAAATTTTGAATGTATTAATGATAAAGTGAAGTTTTTCAAGCAATAACTTTCTTAACACATCTGTCTGAATTGCAATCTTGTCTATACAAGTTAGAGTTGTGTAAATTTAGCAGATGTAAACCATATCAGCAGCTGTATCACAAAAATAGCTTAATTTGAGCAGATTTTTTTTGTCAACTATCTTCACTACCAGCAATTTGGCTGAATTTATATTGTCCTGTTTGCATTATTTTACTGCCACAGCTAGAAAACAGTTTAGGTCTATTGGTTTCATCTTTATGAAACATTAAAAATTTAATGTCTCTGTATATGTTACTTCTTTTTTTTTTCAATTTAAGAGCCGCTCTAGTAAATTCTTTACCACTTTTTTAAGTATTTCAACAAAATGTATTTTTTGAATCTCCTTCGGTTATGTTCATCATCTCAATATTTTTTTTACTTCTTGTTATGTCTTAACCACTTATTGCATTTATAGTGCTCGGGCAGGTGAAAGTCAACATAATTATTGCATCATTACATGTGTATTCATCTAGCCATCAATTAGCTCAAGCTTTTGAATGTTTTACACTCTTCCCTTTATTTGTATCTCACCAGATTCAATCAATATTATCCCCACAAGAATGTTCTGATATTGGTCCAAACTTAAGTCATTAAATGGCAAAGTGAGGGCTATATCTAAAGATACTAAATATATGTTACACTGCCTGTAAAATTAGACATTCTGACTTTTCAACCATTGTAACATTCTTACTCTGTTTTGCTATCTAAGTTTAACATGTGTTATTTTGAACTCTGGTTTATGACTGTAATAAGCACTGTTTTATTTCTCATGCCCCCTCCCCCAATTTATATATAATTACTCCTGTTTTGTATAACCACTATGTGTTGATCATCATAGGCATTTTAAAAAGGGATCACAGATATTGGGGGATGGTCAGGATGATACAATACTTTTAAATCCAAATGATTTGTGACATAAGTACTATTGTGGCCAAAAAAGAGCTGATGATCAATGCCATTTTTCTAAATTAGGAGTAGTATTCCCTTTATGTAATAGTATGCTTCAGTTCATAGTGGACTAGTTGACCGTGGTTGAGGGTTTAAAATACAAACAAGAATTCTTGTTTTAAAGGTATACACATCTTTAGACAACATACCTAAGTTGTACATTGCTGGCATCATTTGGGATTCCCATAATTTAAAAAAACTCATGAGGTTCTTTGTGTTCTTTTTTACATAGGGAAACAGAAACAGCTGGAGGCAGAACACCAAGAGATATATGTGGAAGCTGACCACAACCTTCACTTGTCCACAAGCCGGTCATCACAGCCCCCTGCTGAGAAGCCCGGGGAGAGAAGAATGGCTGAAATGAGAAAGCTCTATGGCAAAGGTGCCAACAAAATACAAGCAATGGAGACCACCATGCAACTCAACTTTGATAGGAATTGTGACACAAAACAGCCCAAGTACTGGCCAATTATTTCTCTGAAACTCTGAGTTATGTGCCTCTTTCCTTTTTTTGGAGATTCAGAGTTGTATATCCTGATGTTCAACCAAGTAGAAGGATTAAGGGAATGAATGAAGAGTCAGCAAAAGACCTTTTTAATTTTCCTTTCCCCTTTCCAGCACAACTTTGAATTTGTCTGCCAATTTCCAGAGTCTATTCCAACTCAACAGGAAAAGCTGAATCAGTCATTTGTACAGGGGATAAGGAAAAATCTCTTTTAAAGGGTATTTCAACTAATTTAATCTTGGCATGTGTTAGCCTTGTAGGAAATGATGTAACATTTGTTTTTGTTCAGTTGAGTTAGGGAAAAGGCTAAAAACTATCAAAATTCAAATATTTTTTAAAATTGTTTTTAGTGCTATGCAGGTTTTGCTGTAGAACTTTAAATGCAGCTATTTTTTGCAACCATTTATTTTCTAGGAGGCACCTATATTAATTAGACAAAATATCTTAAATTACTGTAATTCGGGTTTTGAGATTGGGTTGAACTGTATGTAGAGAAAGTTTCTCCAAAATGAAAAGTTCAGCTTTAGGATTTCAAGTCAGAAGCAAGCATTGTTTACTTTCACAGAACTAACAGAACAAAAAAACCCAAGCAGATTAAAATAAACATTTTTATTTATTTTGAAGTTGTATTTAACCAATCAGGAAGAAAAATAAATTAGGCATGGGGTGGAGAAGGAAAGGGGTCATATGTGTGTGCATGTGATTCTCATCATAGATATAGTGGAACAAAGTTTTAATTCTAATCAAGCCACATTCATTTCCCCTCCATGGCTACTGACTTTTCTCTCTTGTCTTACTTAGCTGTAGAAACTCAAAATCCATTTTTAGAAAAGTGGTTCAAAACTAACATTCCTGTTAACTGAGAAAGAGGCAGTTATACATATGCATAAATAAATATGCTGGCTGATATTAAGGGCCTTGTGAATATACATGTTAGACATTCTGCCCCCTGCTTTGTGCATGCACAAATGGGACAAATGTCGACCATCAGCTGTTTTTTTACCTTTCTCTGGCTGCACCAAACATGCAATTCAAGCGCACACAAATAACAGCAACACCAACCATCAGCTGTTTCTTGCATCGCCGGGCTTGCCAAATGTGCAATTCGTGTGCGCGCAGATAACAGCAACACTGACCACTAGCTGTTTCTTGCATTGATAGGCGCGGTAAATGCACGATTCGCACGTGTGCAGATAACAGCAACACCAACCATCAGCTGTTTCTTGTATTGCTGGGCATGCCAAACATGATTCGCATGCATGCAGATAACAGCAACATCGACCATTAGCTGTTTCTTCGCTCAACTGAGGTGCGGCAATCTGCTCTGCCGCACGAATCAGCTGAGCTAAGAAGCAACAAAACAGGAGAGGTAAGAACGGAGGCAGGAGGGTGGGGCCAATCAAAAATTTTCCCTACCGGTTCTCCGAACCCATTAAAATTTTCCCTACCCAGACACAAGAACCTGTCCAAACCGGCTGAATACCACCCCTGGTTCTATGGTTTTTAAACATTTCCTTTGGATAATCCTTTCTCTGAAAGAGTACCTCCATAGACATACTATGCTAGATGTGATTAATTGAAATAAGATATTTGCATCCTTGCCATTCAAATGCTCCCAATTGGTACAACATCTTCATTCAAAGATCTTCCTTAAAATATATTTAGCAGCTTTTTAGGACCAGCATGATTGGAATTCCTGTCTGGAATGTGAGTTTCTGGTTACTCTTAAACATCTTGGTTCTTCATTGAAATTGTTTAACTTACGTTGTTTGTATATCACTTGGAGTCACCGTGTTTGAGTTGGACAGTTATATGGATTATTTTAATAAACCAATCAAGATTTCCTATGCCATTGTTTGGATGAATTATTGTAGAGCAATTTGCACAATAAAACGTCATTTGGAAGTACCATTGGAATAATTGCTATTGTGAGATTCTCAGCCTTGTTCTGTTATTTGGTAAAAATTCAAAATGGTGTCTGCTTCAAAAAAAATAAGATTTTGTTCAGAGGGTTGTTGTCAAATCTATTGAATTATTTTCAGAAAGTATGCTCTTTAACAGTACAGAATGATTTATTGTAGTTCATTTTTTAAACAGAAGTCTGTTAAATAATCTTTCTTGAAAGGGCTACAGTTAAAGTATGATTTTATTAAAATATATTTTAAACCCAGAGTTTATTTGAAAATATTCAGAGTTTGAAAGCCAAACTAATCATCTTTTCAAATTACAAAATTTTATTAAAACACTTACCTTTTGTGAATTACTCTATTACATCTCTATTACTCCCGTGCATCTGATGAAGAGAATTGTAACTACCAAATTCTTTTAAGTTTGAAAGGTAAAGAAAATTGCAATCCTACAGTATGTCTCTTCAATCAGAAATTAATAATTAAAATTTTTAGCTTACGAGTATAGATGCAGTCCAACTCATACTTATGCCCATTTCAAAAATATTTGGGAAGAAGGCGAGAGAGAAGTGCAAGTCTACTGAAAAATTAAAATCAGTTGACCAATTTCTTATTTACCTTATGGTTTTAACCTATTTGGGAGATACAAATTAGGGGCTTCGTTTCGGATATAATAAATTGGCATTTTCTCTTTAGTTCTACTTATTTGCATGAAGCAGAATACTGTATATTCAGTTTGCTGTCTATTAATTTAATCAAAGTATGAGTTAAATTTATGTTTTACCGAGAAATAAATAAAGGGAGACTAGTATAGGTCTATTTCAAGCTATTTAGCTCTCATCAGCTATCCATACCCTTCTGGGATTCAAATCCGGGCTGCTTACATGTAGATGTATTAACCTCTACGCTACGGGTTCTCCTCGTTAATACATCTACTTAATATGTAAGCAGCACAGGTTCGAATCCCAGAAGGGTATGGCTACTTGATGAGAGCTAAATAGCTTGAAATAGATTCATACTAGTCTCCCTTTATTTCTTTGTCAGTAAAACATAAATTTAACACAAAAATAGTTTGTCGCAAAAGTGACTGCCTGCAAAGGTTCCTGGACTGGGGCTGAAAGGCGAAAACAGAAGCTGTGATGACCCGGAGTGTACTACGAATATAACAAAAACTAAAACGTAATTAAAGGTCCTTTAATGCCCTCGACTTGGCTTCACTGTTCAATTGTTCACAATTGGAAATTAAACTTTTTTCAAAATAACATTCCAAATGAAAGAAATACAGTTCAAAATCAAAGAGCAGATAACGAAGCAAAAAACAAAAACAAACCACACTGAAGAAAGTTCCATGACAGACCAGGATAATTAATTACAAACTTCAAGAAGATAACCAGGTACAGTCTGTTGGAAGAATGCCAACCAAGATAAACCTCATCCAGGAAAACCCACTCTTTCAGCATTTGCAAGCACACAAGTCCAAACTTAGGCAGATCTCACACCTGCAACCCATGAAGAAGATCATGGCCGAGTAGACCACGTTTTCCCCTGATCCTCTCCTCCCTGCATGCCCTAGGATGGATAGGGAATGGGCCTGGGTCCTCCTCTGACTGCTCAGCCAGCCTCTGCCCTTCCCCAGCCTCCTCCACAACGTCCGGAACCACGCTTCCACTCCCTGTTGGCTGTTCCTCCTCTCCCTCAGAGTCAGTCTCCACCAGGGGCATGACAGAACCAGTATGCTCCATCCCATTCTTGGGTAGACCAGGTTGCCTTGGTAGACCAGTCCCACCAGAGAAAAAATATTTAACGAAATGTGAGTTAAAATGATGAGTGAACATGGTTGTAATTCATGGCTGAGTTTTTTTTCACACTCAACTTCAGCTCAAGCCTCCTCCCCAGTTCAACATGATACAAAAAAACAACAAAGACAATATAATTTGCTAGGGGATACTTACAAAATTGGCTCATCTCTCAGTCAACTAAACATACTGTAACTGCATTTATCAATTACTTTATAGGCATAAGAATGAGCATGAAGGAGAGAGAGAAACTCAAACCTTCTGAATATTTAAATTCAGATAATCATTCTGACAGGACAATATAATGCACAATAGATTCACATGATGACCTGCTGGAATCAATAATTGTAACCGAGTAAGCAATTTTTCATTTTCCATGCTCCAGCTGATCAGCATAAGTAGTTGCCAATTGCTATATAGGAGTGTGTATTACGGAATTTTGGGTTAGAATTGCAGAACTTGCTCACTGAGGCCAAATGGCAGAAGGCAACCTCAGATCATTCTTTGTGGGGTTTTGTGGGCAGAAAACCACCTCAACAAAGGCAGGACAGACTGCACAGCACAGCTTCTCCGTCATCACTTCGCTTCTACTGCCTTGTGACTTAATCTGATGTCTGAAAGAAAGATGCCCCATATCTTGTCAGCTAAAATACATAGTCAGTCCCTAAGGCATTGTTTTCAAGAGAGTGGCACCCTGCTGCAACCTAGTCAAAGATCTTTTACCAGAAAAGGATTGAGAAAAGTCACTGGGTGAACACCCAGCCTTTTCAAATCAGCAATGAATGGGCTCAAGAGACTGGGTATGGCCAAGGCAGCGTTGGATCAACTGAAGCAGTCCTAGGCTACGTTGACAGGGATAGAATTAAGACCATGTTATAATGCTTTGGTAAGACCACACTTGGAATATTGCATTCAGTTTTTGTCAATGCAAAAAAAGTCCCCCCCCCCCAAAAAAAAGACATTGAGACTCTTGAAACGAATGCAGAGAAGAACAACATTTGAGGCTCATTTGTGAATCAGTGGACATAGTCTGACTGCCTTCTTCAGGGTTGTGTTCTTCATAGGCATTTATAGACAAGGCCCCAAAGGAATTAAAATGAATGTGCAAGATACTATCTTAGAAAAGTGGTTGTAATCTTCAAATGAGGCACGGTTTCCCTTTTAATAACTCTAGATTCACAGTATAGGCTTTTTGTTGCTATCTCTATCCAAATGTTACCATCAAATTCCAAAAATACTTAGCCTACAGACAGGTTCAGTTCTATCTTCAAAAGAAAGAAAAGGCTGCGGCAATGGAAAGACCATATAGCACACAGGGCCCATTTCAGGAAGTATTTTTTCCCCTTTTGTTCAGTGGAAGGAATGCAATCTCTGCTAAACCAAAACAAAAGATTGTGTAATTTCATTTGCATACACAAGGAGTCAAAATATGAGTTTCCAGCTGCTCTTCAGATTTATATATCCAGTTTAATCAATCCTGAAATACTATAGTAAACTAGTGAGTGTTCACAGTGAAATGCTGAGTCAGTGGATTACATTTTCAATGCGCCAATGTCTCCCTTCTTCTTTTGAGATTTTGAAATAATTCTAATCCTAAATTTGCAGTTGAAATATTACTCTTTGACAATTCACAATAGCAACAGAGACTATCGGGGAGAGGGTGGGGGAGAATAAGAGATTAGAGAGGAATTGGATAGCATGAAGTAAATCTTTTCAGTATCTTCTTTCAAAATAACGAAACAAGTCTCATCAGTATCTCTTAATAGGTCTCACTTTAACTGGGACAAGATTTGATTTTTTTACCTGCACTGGGTTGGTCACATTAATATTTTCTCTCTAACTAGCATCTAATTTAAGGAAGACCTACACATCTGAGTTTTCTGGTAACACGGCTGGAAAAGTTAAGTGGGAGTGCAGACACTTCATTTTTTTTTTCTCAACCAAACACTAGAGAAAGACAAGTCAACTGAGTGCAGCATCTGCTGGGAACAAACATGAGTTTATCTTGTATTGACTTTGGTTATCTGCATTCCTGGCATCCTCCCAACCGGGTTGAATTACTGCCATTCCTTCACATCTGGAATTTCTTCACTTGCCTTGCCGGACTAATTACCTCATCTTGACTTGACTGGACTTATAATTACAGTTTTTGTTTACCATGTTTTGGATTTGATTCTCTGCAGCCAAAGGTTGTTCCTGGGAGAGTTTTTCTCCAGCCCAGAAGGTAAAATTGGA